CACATCACAGGATTATTCAAAAAAAGTGTACATACAAGCAAGAAAATGTTCCAGCTCCAAATTTCAATAACACTCAATTTTGTCTAACAAGGCACATGCGGGAGATGAGACCTGAGTAAACTTGACATCAATCTCTCAAGTATAACGATGTGAGGGGGTGAAGCTGGGTTCACAGAAGATTGTAGCTGAAGAAGTGCGACCTTTGTGTGATAGAAGCCACAGTCTTTAGTCTTCAAGGCCTAGTGTTCCCCAGATGCTCTCCATACTGTCCGGGGATTGATCTGGGCCAGAAAGCCAATACTGGGTTCATAGTCAAGAGTAAATCTAATGACTTTATGTTTAGAGGGAACTATCAGTGAATGAATTACTTTGAATAAGAAAAGAGTATTTTAATAGTAATTCATTTCCACATTGTATTAATGATGTTAAGAATCCTCCATCTTTACTTTAATTAAATAATAATTAATAATAATTGCGTCTAGTCAACTATTTAAATAATCTTACACATATTTTGATCATCAAAATTTATACTATGTACTATAAAACACATCAAAGTGATATTATTACATAAAACAAAGATTTTCATGAATAATACACTTTGTAATTAGTCTGTATAGACGTTTTTGGTCCCCATATTTCAACCTTTATTTGGTTACAAATGTATTACAACAATCTCAGTGTAAGAGAAACAACTGTTTAACTAGCTGACTAATGACTGCTGACTACTGGTATCATCAGTTGCAGCCCTAGTGTACACATCAGGGATCCACCAATTCTACTAAATATAATCTGAAGATGAGTAAAATATACATAAAAGTATTATTTGAAAATGCTGTATAAATGAAAGTGATTGAAGACACGATTCTTCTTGTCCCCAGGCTGTCTTGGTCGCTTTGCCCGACTGTGCCCTCTTGTGTCCAAGAATCGATCTGTGCTGTCTGCCCGCTCCTCTCTCTCCTCTGCTCCTGGCTCTTCATTAGCTCCGGCCCGCTGTACGAGTGCAGTGTCTAATTGGCCAGGGACCCTGAGATCCGACATCCTTGCCCGCCTCGCTCCCAGAGAAAGGGTTAGCAGGCGCCTGCTGCTTACTCACTAATCTAACACATTATGGTCTGCTCTATGAAGGCAGTGGGAAAAACAGCATCAGTGACTGTCTGTGTGGAGGTTCAGTTCAGATAAATGGCATCTGAACATCACACATGCTGTTTTGACCAAAAGGAGGAGCATTGTCTTTTGGGCTGCACTACAAATGTTAGAGTGCAGTCTATGGAAAATTGTTGCTATAACGATAACTAATGACAAAATTTTGAATTAAAATGTTATCCTGTTTTGTTCAAATCACTGTACATAGATGCTGCTGATAGTATGAGGAGAGATTATGAAAAATCCACACAGAATGGCCCTAGACAGATTTACGTACATTAAATACATTAAGATGACATTTGTTTGCAGTCCCTGGGCAGGTACAGAAGACATTAAATAGCCTATTTACCACCTCTAAGAACAATATTTCATCTATAATTGTCTCCTTAAAATAACCAATTCATCATTAAACATTTAAAACTAAAACAAAATTCATTAATCCGAATTCCTAAAAAAATTTAAATTCATCATCATCTAAATACTCAAATTTATTGTTAGCCTCTAAAATGTACAGTTATCAAATTCATCACTATTATTATCCTCTAAAATACAATCCATCGTCAACATTACCATCAAGACAAATTTAATTAGTCAAATATAAAAAATCTACATTCCAATCAGAATGTTTAAATGTTAGAAGAGGCCTAATGCTGACAGACTTGCTTGCTCAGTGTGCTTTGTATAGCTTTTTTATATGTGTGTTATTTATTTGTTACTCTTTCACTGTCATGATATTGACTTTTGACAATTGAAACAGTTAAAATATGTACCTAATATATGACTCACTGGAGCCACTTTACTTCAAGTACTCCCATCTCAGTCATTTACAGATAATTCGATGACTCATACTTCTATAAATTGTAACTCAACTCCTTAATCAAGGTAATTATTGGTCACATTTATATACCAATTAAAGTACCCCAGTAGTAGCCTAACCCAGCATTAGTTGCAAATATCTAGCCACGTAATTAGAATTTACCTAATATAGATTTAATTTACCTTGCAGATGGCAGCTGACCACTGATGTATATGGTGATCTCAACTCTCGCAGGAGGAGCTGGAGCCTAGAAGAAGCAACAGTTCTGAGACCAAATACCTCAAAAATATGAGGCCTTTTATGTATGTAAACCATGTATATATGCCTAAACTAGGTCTAAAAGCCATTGCTTAAACAAAAAAGCACTTAAGTTGCTCATGTTTTTAACTGGTCATAGGACATGCATAGAGTTTATTAAATTACTAATTAAAGGTTTTATAGAGGATTTTCCAAGGAACGAGAAATCCAGCGACTGTTTGTCCTTTTTCAAATCTTGCGCATGCGTGAAAGCACCCCCCCTCCCCTACAGCTCCCTACGTAGAAACGCCTCCTTCCGCCTCCTCCTTACGCCAGAAACAGGTTTGTTTACAGCCGGTGCACTGCACATGACTTGTAAACAGCTAACTACAGTGTTGGTTAGGCAAGGCGGAGAAGTGAGGAGCGGGGGGAGGGGGTGTGCGGACTTTTCGTTCGCGGACGAGAAGTGAGGAGCAGGGAGAATAGCGAAGCGGGGAGCAGGGAGAGGAGAGAGGAGAGGGGAGCGGTGCGCGGAGATTCCGTGCCCGGAGAAGTGAGGAGCAGGGGGAAGAGTGGAACAGGGAGAGAGGAGAGGAGCAGTAAGGGGTGCAGAGAAGGGGGCGCGGAGATTCAGTGCGAATGAACTAGCTACAACACGCAGCAACAAACGGACTCTTTCTTTGCCTTGAAAATTACGTTTTCAGACATAGGATATCGCTTTCGTGTCCTGAAAAACGTTTGACTAGCTCTTGGAAATAAAGTACGTTTTCATAATAAGCAGAAGTGACCTGTCCAGGAGTAATTTGGCGACCAGTGCGTCAGTCTTTAGACCCTGCGTCTGCTTCAGTTGCGCCATCGCTGGAATGAATCTTCAAGAATCACCTTAGTTTGGCTTCGCTGCTTTTCCCCTTGTCTTCTTCTCTTTTGCGGCTAACTGTTCCTGGATTCTTGTCTGCCATTGCAACAAACTTTGTGCTAACTGCGAGGAAGATATAGGTCAAAAAAAGCCGCTAAGAACTGTTGCGTTGGTGGAGTAAACAGCGTCTGTGCGGCTTGTGTCTGTGGACTGCATGACAGGCGTACGTAACGGCGGCGCGCAGGCAAGTCAGTTACGCTAGAAACGTAGGGAGTTTGATTGACAGCCTGTCAGCTAACAGATAACGAGGCAATGTCGTTATCTATTGGCAAATGTTTAGCTGGCCCCACCACGTCCAGAGTTGATGAATTTTTATTCTTTTTTTTTTGGTCATCATAATTACAAGGCTACTGCATCTCTATAATGCTATCATTGACAATTTGAAACAAAAAAAATCCTCCATACAACCTTTAAGGCTGGCAGTCTAATATCGCTGGGTTAGTAACATTGTATTTATTATGTATTATGTATACAGTGCATATATATATATATATATATATATATATATATAATATATATATATATATATATATATATATATATATATATATATATATATATATATATAGATATATATATATATATATATATAGATATATAGATAGATAGATAGATAGATAGATATAGATAGATATAGATAGATATATAGATATATATAGATATAGATAGATAGATAGATAGATATATAGATAGATAGATAGATAGATAGATAGATAGATATGATTTTATATTCCATTTGTGATTTTGTTTAACACCTAGACAATCATAGACTCACATAGGGCAAGGATGCCATCTGGAGGACAATGAAGAACATTAGCCTCAGTCTCAGAAAGTAATGTGTTAGTTAATTCCTCTTAGTATAAAAAAACATCAGGATATGGTTAAATAAAAAGAAAAATAGCATAGATAAGTACAAACGTATAACAGTTTGGGGGCTTATGCCTTTCATTGTGGCATAGGTGGTGTAATCTCCATAAATAGCCTTTGTTAACTACTTTTCATATGTTTTTATAACATGAAAAACATTTATTTTCTCAGGAAAAAGAGTTGATGAAACACATCAGTGACTATATGTCTGCATCACCAACTCTCTGCGCAGGTGTAAATTAAACTTTATCTTAGAAACACATATAACTATGTGTAAAAAAAGAAAAAAAAAATCCAAGTTGTGACTGGGTGCTAAAGGGTTAAAGCAAATAAGAGACACAGTAAGTGATTTGCCTCAAACATTACTTTTGTGTGTGTTTTTTGTTTCAAACACTAACAAAAATAGTCTTTATTACATAACCAACTGTTGTCTTGGCAGAACACAGCAGATGGACATTTTGTCCTCTACAAGGAAAGACACTTGGTCCACAACCATATCTTCAACTCAGATAGTTAGAAATGAACTGCAGGATTTTTTTTGTATTGAAATAGTATTACTATAATCATCATATTATTATTGTTTAATTTTGATACTATTATTAAACTATTCAGAATACCGTAACAGTTGCCTATTAAATGTCCAAAAGATTTTTTAAAAATGGTAGCCTAAACTGTATGTAAGATTTAGATTTTAAATGCCATAAAGATTACCCAACTGTGGTCCCAGATATGAGGTAAAATAGGTATGGTAAAATCGAGTATTACTTAAACTGTACTATTTTAAAATGAGTATTCTTAATTTTTAACCTGCAGTAACCCTTCGACAGTCCAGAGACATAGGACTGTGGCACATATCCATGCTGTGGCACATATCCATGTTGTGGCATAGGCCTGTGGTCCGTGTCTTCGCTGATACGCCGTGCGTCGTGACGTCAGCGCGCAGAGGGCGTGGTGGCGCTGGTACAGAGGGCTGTAGCTGTAGCGCACTGTGACTGTGTATGTAGTCAGAGCTCCCACAGTTTGCCTTCTCTCTGCGTAAGTGTAAATTAAACTTTAGCTTAGTTACATACAGTTGTTTTTATTGTCACGTTGCGCTTATCTGTAAAATGCGTAAAAAGTTTCAGTGGCGTGAGATGATGCGGTGAATTAATCCGCGGACATGTTTGATCGTATTAGCGGCTATTTACAATGACACTAACGGGACTGTGCCAGAACCTACTACTACTGCTGTCCTCTGCTCCGCCACTGCACAACTCATGTCTCCGAGACATCGTGCTCGCTATTTGTTGTAGATCAATATATGCATCTGATATACTTTCTGTACGATTAATTGCTAGGCTGTATTTAACTTTCTAGGTGAACTGTTGCTTGCTTGTCAGCTCATCCTGTTGTACCACAGAAAGATCCCGAACATTTACTCGCAAGGTTGTATATAGTTGATGGTATGCACGCTATGATCTGCATTTATTACTTAATTACTGATTATAGGGGCGGGTATAATGGTACGTTATGACATTTTGATGAAAATGTCAAAGATAAGTCTGAAGAGTGCAGAATTCTCCTGAGACTTATAGTTTTTAGTTTTACTCCTATAGCAGCAACCTGAACTGAAAAAGAGCTCAGTATAAAACTTAAGTGTGGATTAATATTAGTAAATCATGAATTAATGAAGTAATTTTGTTTAAGAGTCCTATACAGTCCTTACACAAAATGGACTCTTGTTGTGAGCTATAAGCCAGTTCAGTTCAGTTTTGTTTCATTCACACATGTTTGAGTAATCTTTTATTAATTGTCAGTCTATGTCCCCAAAGCTCAAAATACTCTACCTTGTTATGTCATGTAGTAGTAGTTTTAGTTATCGGTTACCTTTTACTTTCATTTCAGTAGAGGTCGGCAATTCCAGGGGTGAAATTATCTAAATGATTCTAGTGAAGGTGTATGCAGTTAAACAACACCATGGAGCATTTCCAGTATTACCACATGACATCACAAAGTGGAACAGAGTGTTTTCTGTTTCAGAGAACTCCACCTAAAAATGCAGGACTTGTGTGTTAATTTAAATGTATAAATGAAACAAAACACAACTCCAGGTATGTTTTTGATGAGGAAACAACATTATAATATAGATCAGAAAATAGTGTAATATGGACCCTTTAAAAGAACACTATGGGGCCCAGACATTATGTAGGTCAGGGCATGGGTGGTGTGAATGTTTAGCAAGCTTAAATATTATCCTTTTAATGCTAAATATGAAGGTTACATATTACCATCCCATGTTTTTGTGGTCTTCTTCATTGGACACCTTTAATCATTCATTTAGTGACTCTTCAAAACACACAGCTCCTCTGTTTTGCACTGTGGGTGAGATATGACATGATAACAATTGTAGTCTCCTATCTGTTCAGCAAACCCCTTCTAATGGTGAGAGCTGGAGGGCATTGCTAACACAACCATTCATGTCTGAGTGCGTTGGTCAGGCCACTGTGATGACGCTGCTCCTCCTCCTCCTGCACTGTGCACGATATGTCTTTACTCCAAAGGGACAGCTTAGGATTCAGTGTCTTTATGTTAGAATAAAGGCTTTTGATCCTGTGACAGATTAAGGAAGCTAGAAGAAGCGTATGCAAGTGATCTGGTCTATTTTTCAACTTCAATACTACATAATGGCAACTCTTCTGCTTTTTATTTGACGTGTTTTTTTGTGTTTATGTAAGTAAGTTTATGTTAAGCCAGGATACTTCATGTGTTACCATAGACTGTCTATTCTTTGTACAGTCTGTGTTACTCAAAGGGAAATTAGTGGGTTTTCTGCAAAAGCCATAGACTGTAATGTTTGTTGTACAGTGACAGTTGTAGAGAAATAGCTCTGCCATTTCTTAATATTTTATTATATTTATTTATTATATCTTTTATTTTGTTAAAATTGTGCTGGTGCATTGCTTTCTAGATGTGCATGGACATGGCATTTCTCAAGATGTGGAAGCCTTTAAGATGGGTGGTCCAATTTTTATGACAGATTATAGTCATTTGAGCTCCACTGACAGTTATTGATTTTTTAAATTCTGCTGTATACCTTTTGAGTATATTGGACGTTGGAAATGGCATCATTTCTCACAATAATAGGTTATAGGATATTCCCTGGTACAATAGATCCTTCAAATTGTGGCTTTTAACAGTTTTGATGGTTAAAAGTGCTTTTTTACAATGTCATATGCTGTGAATTTTGTGATGTCTAAGAGCATTTGTGGGCAGACTGGTGGGCTGTGGTAGCACTCACCACTAGAGCTGATTCTCCACAGAATGAAGGGAAGATTCCTTTATAAAAGCTGCTGTTACTAGTGGCAACGCGTGGCTGGTATCCTTCTGAGTCTAACCCTCCTGTTGCAAAAAATGTGTTGCAGGCTGCCAAGAGTGAGCTTATATTAAACAGATATAACAATATTATGACAAATCCCTTTAAGTGCTTTGCTTTCATAAGAAGTGGAAAAAATATACAGAAATTCAGACAAAATAATTGCACAATATGTCTTGCAATGGCTTGTTACTGAGTTCTGTGGAATTATTTTTTAGTCCTACTGAAGGGAAATACAGTAGACTCATTAAGCAGTTCAGCTCCACCTACTGCTAAAACTAAATGGATTGTATATTCTGGTAGACTTTGAAGTTAAATAGAACACATTTTTCTCTTTGTGCAATTCCTAAGATAAGATTAATGGAGAGGACTTGCATTTTTGCATTCAGAATAAAGTTTCAAATACAGTGGAAAATTTCAGGTGATGTTTATTGGGCACAGTCTATGGTGGAGGTGTTCTAGTTATTAGAATTTGTGTGTTTTGTATTTGAAGCCTCTCGGCCCCATAACCTGGACCTCACTGACCCACTCGCCCTCTCTCATTCCTCTTGACGCTGTGTCCTTAACACCATCTCTGGTATGAAGTTTCAGCTCGTGTGCAGGTGCTTTCCCGTCTGTGTCAATCATGATGGTCCAATGCTGAGGAATATGAGCCTTTGTTGGCCCTGGTTAGAACCTGTTAAGCACCTATCAAGTGAGTTAGCAAGTGGGACTCAGTTTGACACACATTACGATGCTATTTGCACCTGTTACTCTTGTGAAAGTGTACTATAAGGCATCTGTTTTATCATTCATTCACCTGCAATGGGTCAAACACAACTATATTAATTTTACATTATTAGTGGAGCCCACAGTGAGACAGTGTTGCAGTGTTTCCCAATAACAGAGGATACTGTTTGTCACCATAGTCTTACACATATAGAAGTAACTATAGTTAATCTGTATTTAGTATTTTTTTCAGCAGAGCCAAAAGTCACCCTTATTCTCCATTTATTGCATTGAACAAAATTATACAAATATGGATCACTTATGTCACCATTGTCTCAGTATAAACTTGAGGGAAACACTGGTGTCAGGTGCTGCTTGGATGTAGTAAATAATTGAAAAGGACACTTGCTTCAGTGTTGAGCACAGGTGAATGTTAAACAATGCTTGTGGACAACATCGCAGTATTATTAATGCTGTTTACTACCTGGGTTAGACTACTGACTACTGTAAAACATGCAATATGAGCAATACAAAACCCATTATTCTTCTAACTCAAGATTTGTTGTGGCAACCTCAGAAGTGAAAGCCCATAAGTCCCAGTATCCCAGAGCTGTAATCGAGCAAGTGTCATCATGCCTATTAAAAATAAAAAACTCATTAAAGGTCCTGTATTAGGCAAAATGTATTCTTGTGAGCTTTGAGCCATGTTAGTATATTGTTACTTCATCTAAAACATACCTGGAGTTGTGATTTGTTTCATTCACACATGTTTGAGTAATTCTTTATTATTAGTCTGTCAACAAGATCGAAATATTCTGTTCCACCTTGTGAAGCGAAGGTTTTCAAGTTAACACCTAGTTTTTACGTTTTGTTCTGTAGAAATTGGCAAATTGAGTACTGAAATGATCCAAATGATTCTAGTGAAGGTGTATGAAGTTTGAAAACAAAGTGGAACACTTCCTGTATTACCCCATGGCATGTCTTGTCTGTTTCAGAGAAAAAATCAACCTAAATATGCAGAGTTTGTGTGTTGAATATGAATGAAACAAAATACAACTTCAGGAAGTAGATGAGGAAACTACATTATAAGATAGGACCTTTAAACTGATTGCATTGGTTAACAGAATTTAGACAACAGACTACAGAGAAATCTTGATCACCACTTAACTCATAACTTTTTCTGTGCAAAATATACAGTTTGTATTTCTTTTTAAAATAATAAAATAATCAAAAAGATGTGTTATCTTTTCCCTTTTTCCTACACAACAATCCAGGCTGAACCTCCCTCTCCCTGTCGGGTACTAATAGCGGTCTGTTGTCACTTGTACTGAAATCATGTCCTGTACATTGTCACAAGTGACACAAATGCACTGTTCTCTGCCAAACACAGAAACAACAGATGTGCCTGTTTCCTGCCTGCGTTATCTCCATTCAGCTGTTGAAGGGGTAGTGCTAACTTGTCATTTTTATGGATGTAACCGCAACAGAAATATTGTGATATCTTATCATCTGAAGTCTCACAGTAATGTAGTGGGCCATCACAATATATCGTATCACAAGTCTGTTTCTTAAATCCATTGCAAATCCACAGCAATAGCTAAATTGGATTATGACAGAGCTAAAGTCTTGACAAGGCATTTTAAAAGAAAAAAGTAGCATATTCACAGTTTTGTCGCCAAATTTTCCCAATAAAAATCATACCGTGAGATGTATTTCATGAAAATATACAGAGGCCTTAAAGTAGCTTGTATTACTGGTAATTGTAGGAGCCACAGTAATGGTAGTTGTAGTAATTATTATGGTGTTCTATCCTGTATTTTCTACACTGGCACAAAATAGGACTACCATCTACTATGTCAATATTTATAGCGAGTAATTTTTTCTTTGCACTATAGTGGGGATTTACAGTTATTTTTTTTGACAATATGTTAAGATTTGAGCTGTATAAGGTTGAATTATGAACTAAAACTATACAGTTTAATTACTAAAGTGTTGCATTCTGCTATTTATTTATTGCAGCTCATGTTTTTGAACAATATAGTACTTTTAGAATACTTTTTGGGGGATAATTCTGCTTCATAGTTTAGTTTCAATATTCTTGTTTATAGTCTATATTTACTTAAGCAATATATCACACATCAAAAATTGTTATCGTGACATTCCTAACTGAAAAAAGATATGGTGGTGTTGTGGCATACTCGTAATACTAGCTGTGTTATCTTTACACAGCTGTTAAACAAGATATGGTTTCCACTTATCTGGTGTATACGTATTAATAATATAGTCATAGTAACAGAAGCAGTGTGTTGTAGAGCTGTACATTTTTTGCATTAAAATTTGAGATAAGACAGAAATATGAAGTAATAAATTAATAAAGAATGAGACACATTTCAGATTCAGAACATGTTTGATAATTTGTGATTTTGATTCTGTTGCAAGCTGGTGTGTTGCTGAATATTTACATAGTAGAGTCATTCAACATATTCAGTGTGCTTAGCTTATTTTTACTATTAAAGGTTCTATATTTCACAAAATGGACTCTTGTGAGCTTTAAGCAATGTTCTAATGTTGTTATCCCCTAAACAGACCTGGAGTTTTGTTTAATTCACACATGTTTGAGTAATCCCTTATTAATAATCTGTCAACATCTCCAAAGATCAAAATGCTCTCTTCCACCTTGTGATTTCATGTAGTGGTATTTTTCAAGTTCACAGCTACCTTTTACCTTTTGTTCAGTAGAAAATGGCAATTCCAGTGCTGCAATCATCCAAATGATTGAAGGTCTATAGAGTTTAACACAGAGGAGCACTTCCTGTATGACCACATGACATCATAAAGTAGAACAGAGTGTTTTCAGTTTGAGAGAAGAACTCTAAAGCCTAACTATTCAGGATTTATGTGTTAAACATGTATGAATGAATTAAAACAACTCCAGGTATTTTTTGATGTTGATGTTTTTGATGAAGAAACAACATTATAGGATAGATCAGAAAATAGCATAATATAGGCCCTTTAACATATACTTACATAATACTTACTCATCATATTCACGATGTGTACTGAACATGTTGACATGCACATCTGTGATCATTACAATAATTGCTAGCATCCTGCTCTATCCCCTTGATTCCCTTGTGCTACAAAGTGCACACTCATTTGTGCATTGAGGCTGCTGCCAGAACGCTCTGGCCTCATTCCCGTGGTATTGATGTGTGTCTGTCAGTGAGAGAGGCCAGCACAAAGAGCAGCCATGGTCCGTGTGTGGCTCTGAGCAAACAAAGACTGGTTTATTTCAGTCAGCGAAGACTCTTCTCGAACACTACATGGGCCTATTTCTGCTGCAGACATATTTACAGCCAAATCAAAGTATGTTCAGCTTTGGAAAACAGCATGTCTGACACAGGGTCAAAAAGCCGTGGTCACAGACATGCCACTTTGGGTTGGTCATCTCCAGTTAGGTGCCACTTTCTCAGTTTCATAACAAACTATTCGTAATGTGGAATATTCTCTGGCGTAACATCTCATGAGTTGTGTGGTCCGCTGTTGTTTTTTGTTGATTGGTTTAATTGATTTTCTGTAAATAAGACTTTTAGTCATGTTTTTGTTTTATTTTTACTCCATTGCTTTCATTCTCTTATATTCTAATAAATATTTAATTTAATATCACTGTCATGCTCTATCATAAACCGTACATATACATGGACATGGACATCCACTAGCTGCCGCTTTACACATAGGAAGTGAACTTCTGACCCTGGCTCCAATTGACTTACATTGGAATATTGTTGCCCCACTCTGTAACTACTGCAGTGAGCCTCATCATTTTGGTCTTAAAATGTTTGCATTAACCCTCTCTACATGATGGTAGAGAGGGTGTTTTTATTTTACTGTTTTGTTTGTTAATAAATCCCTTTTCCTAATAAGGATACTGCTCCCATTTCGCCCCGGTTAATACAAGCATCATGAACTTCATTTGACTGAAGCCAAATGCTATGGGTGACGTTACACTCCCTTAATCCTTTTCTTTATACAGTCTATGTGATAATGCAATATAGTGGATTGAATTAAAATGTGCTTCATTGACTAAAACAAAAATACTCAAAGTTTAAGTGACAAATGTATAAAAACTAAATGAATGACTAAAGTGGCACCTGGAGAACATTGACAGCCAGAAACAATGTTTGAGAGTTAACACGTTTTGTAACAGGAACAGGCTAACAGTTCCTTTGAATATAGTCAATTAGTCTCTTTTGTCTGCTTTCTGAGACTTTTATGCAATAGTTTATCTGATGGCGTTTTGAGCTGCTATTGTCTGTCATTTTGCTGAGCTGTTTGCTTTCATTTTGACTATGGGGCTTAACCTCTGCATATAATCACAGTCCATTGTAATCTTTGTTCAATATAGATAATGGAGAGGTTTAGGCCACTTCAGTGCAGCATGTTTGTTTGTCTAACTGTTTTAAATGGACCGTGGTGGAAGAAGTACTTCAAATTTTTCACACAGAGTTTTGAGGTGTTTTAAGTTTTCAAATGTATTGTTTTTGGTAAAGATTAGTGCTGTTTAATAGAAACAATTAAATAAATTGTTTATATTTGCTTTTTTTGTTTTTGTTTTGCTCAAACTATATATATATAAAAAACGCTGTCTTTTCATCAGGTCTCAAACAGTAATAAAAATACTTTTACTTTTCAGGCCTGTTCAGAAATGTAGTGGAGTAAAAAGTACAGATATCTGCTCTCAAATGTAGTGAAGAAACCAATAGATACCTACAAATTGTACTTAAGTACATTCCATTACATTTCACCACTGTTCAATGGTTTTCACAAGGGATTCAAATGATGAATATTAAGTAGATGTACAATATTTTGCAAGTCATAAAAACTGTTTCCACACATAATATTTCAAGTATCTGATACTAAAAATTTATAGAATGCATTTTACTCAACATTTACAAGTCTTAGCCATATTTTTTCCATTATTTTTTCCATAGTAGAATCAGCTGTTTCGCGCGATAGTGGCGATATTTATATTTAAACTGTACTCATCATCACTATCAGAGCGTTTTCAGGTACATCTGTAGTACTCCTCATTACACATCAGATCTTACAATAAGTCTTTGTCCTCTGAACTGATTCTGGCTTTGCAGAGGATTTAAAAACGTGGTCAATCTAAATTACATCCAGTCCAGCAGTTAGGTCAGAGCTGGATGAAGGAGAGGATTTACAGACAGGACAGGTCCAACGAGACAGGTGTCATGGTTAAGATAAATGTCCAGGTTCAGCTTTGGGAGAGCTTTAACTCAGCCCCTGAGGTCATTATAAATCACCCTTCACAGTGAAGAGAGACAGGAGGTGAATCAGTGTACTGTAAATGTAATCTGTTCATATTTTATTCACCAATGTCCAAAAAGGTTTATGTTTTATGTTTGTATTTATGCCTGTATTTTGTTAGCGATTATTCCTCCGCCTTTGACTGATATTTGCATTTTATTTGCTGGTCTCTCCCTCTCTTTCCTCCCTGCACTCTGGGATCAGCCGAGGCCGCCACTGTAGCATGTCACATCCACTGCATGGAGTTATTTAGTGCTGATGTGATGTTTTATCAGGTGTTGTTTATTATTCAGTTTGAAAAGACAGATTGTGAAGCCTGTTTGAGATGTTACGCTGTTTGTTGTTCTTTGGTCTAGGGAGCTCTGTCCCACGGCAGTGACACAGATAAGGAAGTGGGGCTCTGGGGAATCTAAATGAGCTCCTGAAGGACCATTTGGTGTCACTAACTAATCCACATGATCATGGGTAAATTAGATGGTTAGATGCTGGAATTATGACTTGAACTTTATTTAGAAAAACTTTAGAAAAAAATTATTTGAACTTTTTATACATTTTATATGTCTTTTTTTTTTTCTTTCTCTCTCTCTAGGCAGTCCAAATGAGGGCGTGACACAGCCTTGATCATTGCCTGGACGAATGGTAAATACTCTGTTCTTACAAAATGATAATGCTAATTGTCACACGTTTGAGAAACTTGCTTTTCAGTTACCTGTACTATTAGTCAAGGAGGCAGGTCCATCATTGTCTGTTTCTTGTGGGTCATCTTGCCTCCATCCTTCATTCACACAAAAGCAGACAAACTCATGGTTGATCTCCTCTTTCTGTGGTAGAACTGCATGACTGCTCCTGTCCTGAATGAAAGATGCGTCCATCCCTCTGACCAGCCCTGACTCACCCTCCATCTTTGTCCTGTCTACACTGTCCCATCTGGCTGTCCCTGGCGCTACTGTCCCCTCTCCTCTGTGCTTCCATTGTCTGTGTGGATGCATGCTTCACCAATAGAGAGCAAATTGTTATCACTTTTGAGGCATCTGTATTGGTGTTTGGTCAATGGATAATCAAGATTTTCACACTAATCAGCACCTCAGAAAACTTCCTAACTGATTATGTTTAATAAGCTAAAACTAAACTCAACTTACTCTTAATTATGGCTATATTATTATTAAACCCAGACTGAACAATGTCAAGAGAGATAAACTTTATTGATCCCAAGGGAAATTCAAGTTTAGCTGCAGCTGCATTTACACTGCTCTTCTGATATTAAAACAAGACAAAATCATCATCTAAACAATTAAACCTAGACTAATGTTACTGTTAACCATGTCAAACCAAGTTCTAAACAATGAGTAAACTTCAGAACTAAATTTTGAGAAGAAACCTGCCTGCCCCATAGCTGTGCCTACATAACAGTTTGAAAACCACGGACTGTCATTTGAAATGGAGACTGAGATGGGGCACTCAAGCCAAGATCCAAAATCCAAACTAATTGCTGATGAAAGGCCAAAAAAAAGAGGGATTTCACGCTCAGAGAAACCCCCCTTTAGTAAGATGGGCATCCTGAGTCTGGGGCTCAAACAGCTGATCCAGAAACGGAGAAAACGCTTGTCTGTGTCACGGTCCATCATCGCACCGGCCTCTTCATCATCAGCAGGTGGTGATCCATGCTTAAGAATCATTAGTGTCCAATTACATTATTCTAATAGGAAGACAGACAAACATGGGTAACCAAACGAATGAACATATTTGACTGTATGTATTTCCTTTTGAGTAGAAAATTTAAACTTAAATTCAGAATTTTAAATGAGAAGATAAGAGATCATTGGTGTTTAAATTCTATTGATTCTATTCTACCTGTCAAATGATGAAACATTTTCTTTTAATCTTATTGTGATGCAAGTAAATCACTTGTTCACAGTGCAAAAGGGTACATAAGTATTCACCTATGCAGCACTTGCATTAATCCAATCATTTAATCTTTTTTCTAATCTCTTCTTCTGTTTAAGCTTCTTTTCATGTTGCATACTGAGCTTGTTCTCTACCCATTTGTTTTCTGCTGTTGTGTCAGGAGGCAGTGCCCCCTTGTGGGCCCATGAGGATGTCCTGGGATGCTGCCCTGATCAGTCCCCCCTCTCAGCTCCCTCTGCTGCAGGACGGGGTGCAGGGACAGTGGGCATGATGCGGAGGGGCACCAGTCTGCAGAGCCGCCGCACTAAGGCCAGCTCTGGGAATGGAGACAAGGACCCACTGCTGAGAGGAAGTCCCCAAGCTCCCATCAGACGGCACACCCACGACCCACAGCACCATGTGAGCAGGCCCAGATCGTCCTCCAGCAACACGGACAGCGCTCCCTGCAGTCCGGCAACCGCCACTGTCCCCTGTGATGTGCTGCTGTCCTCAGGTTATCATTCTACAGAGGAGTCGGACCGGGTGAGTCAAAGTAGCACAAGCTGGAAGTTGGTTGTGCCTGCAGTACTGTTACTGTGCTTCTCAGTATATTGACTGAGGATTGGGGGACTACAGTGGATAATTAGCTAATACTGTTGCATTTACGGAAATGTTTATTAATGTCTGTTGTCTCTCTTCAAATTAACGATTACATAAAATAAAAATAAATAAAATAATATGCTGGATCAATGAAGCGATAAAAAAAAATGTTTAAGAAGATTTTGGAATATTGGTATAAATACTGAAATGGTATACATTTCAGTATTTATAAAAATGTTCCAGTTAGTCATAAATTCTTACCTGCGGTGACATTAACACTTAACACTCTGAGCCCTCCATTATTATTATTACTTAATAGTGAAGTTCTTTTAATCTTGGCCAGCCAAAAACATACTTTTAAAAACAAGCTCATAAATCTGTGCCCAGTGCTCACAAAATTTAAATTGTAGTTTGACTTTGGCCATAATTCTCAGCCTTCTCATTTGCTGCCACCAGAGGGCGCAGTCACATAAGCAATTGTGCTGGGAGTGGTGGCCTGGGCTTGGTTCAGAGTTCAGAGAATCTGTCCATCATCAGCTTTTTTTTTTTTTTTATTGTCTCAGATGATTCAGATGATTCATTCTAATACCCAAGGCCCTTTCTGTGTGGACTCTGCATATTTTTCCTATGTTTGTGTTTTGTTTTTTTTTTCTTTTTCATACAATATATTTATGCACAGGATAATTCTATAGTCCAGCATGCTTACATTTATCTGTGCATTCCTCTTTTGGACACATTGGACTATTTCAACTTAATTTAATTTTTTTTCTGAAGTATTGTGTGTTTCTTTTTCTCACCTGTAACACTGTGATTCTCAGTCAGAAGGTTTCGGCCACTGGCAGCACTTACAGTTGAATAGAAACGCCCTTACAGCTTTGACCCACTGTTAAGGAAACACACTGAGAGCAATGAGGTCATTTCTGCTGTTTCTGTGGTTACTGTCAAACAGGAAGTTACACCAGGCTGCAGGTTTCCATGGCAACAGCGTGGTGACCTTGGAGAAGTGTAGCACCAGCTCACTAAACGGGGTGCATACCTAAAACCTAAATGACCTACATTATTCTAAAATGCAAATGTTTTGTCCAACTTTGCAATTTTATTTTATAATACTAAAGTAAGTAATATAAAGAAGATAAAATGATTGGGACAGGATGTATCTTTTTGTATTGATTTTATTGTATTGTCAGCAGAAATCCAAGGAATATTTTATTTATTTATTTGATATGGACATAGCAATTAAAGACAGACAAACCAGATGGATTATTTCAAGTGTTATAACAAAAGATGCTCAACACCTGTCCAATATGCACCACTGAATACTTTAAAAAAAAAAAAAAAACAGAACATGGGCAATATTAATTTTATCTGCCACCATTTTAGGTATATATTAGAATCTTGTGATTACCTAGCAGTTTTACAACCTTTGGAGATCTTGTGCAAATAAGTATTGCACTGAAATTAAAAATCATCATTACACTGACAGAAACAATGCTATAATTCCCTAATTTTTGATTCTGATGTCCTTTTAATGATTTCTCTGCTGTCCTTCACATGGATTTTTTCCTCAATTTGGCTGTCCCCCACCATTGGTCCTTCCCAAGAGAGCATTAATACAATCAGTCAGCTGGTCCCACCCCCACCCCTGCCCACCGTCTCACCTCCTCCCTCTGCCCCTCCCCACTATGCTCTGTGACAGGAAGCATGCGGGAGGCGAGCTTGTCTCATAGTAGTTGAACGAAGAGCGTAGCATCGGTAGTAGTGTGTGTGTGTGTGTGTGTGTGAGTGATGCATGGGCGTGTTAACAAAGTATACCGGATAATTTGCAGTGCTATGACTTCACATTTATTATCAATATCTGAACAGTTTCTTGTAAATCTGTGTGTTGACATAACTGGAAGGATTTTGTGTGATAGTGATAGATTGTATATGGGAGGCGCTGCTTCTTTCTCTTCACCGGTCTGATGTTTGCTCAGCTCATGGATACGGCATGGACAGTGTGTTTGGAGAGGAGGGTACAGGGAGTCTTGAGTGCATGTGTCCAGAGCATGTAGTGTAGATTCAGTTTGTGAGGGACTGTGTGTGAACTGGAGAGGTACCAAAGAGTGAACCAAAGAGGAGCAGCTGGGGCTCTTGGGCAGGCAGGATGGTGCAGAGATTCAGCCTCCGAAGACAGTATTCTAAGGTAAGATATGAGAACATACGAACGCGCTACTGTTACTTTACTCATGTTGTGATTTTGAATTTTAGGTCAAATCAGTTAAAATCTTTTTTATACAATGAATCTGTACAGTGTATTGTGCATGTAGTAGTTTCTTTCCGGTAATGTTAACCTTGTGGCTTTTAAACTTTTTGAACATTTCATAAACTTTGGCATGTCAAGTTTTTGCTTTGATATATGCTTTTCAAGTTGTTGTTTGTGTAATCCCTCAGTCGTCTAGGTAGGATCCATAGCAAAAGAAACATTTTATTCTGTTAAAGGGACAACTTTTTTTTTTCTTTTGTCCAATTAACAGAATTAAAATAGTCTTTCTTTGTTTAAAAATGGATAGTCCAGAAGGTGCATAGAGGCATGCGGTTGCTTTCTAGTAATGGACAACTTTATTAATCTAATATTAACTGCATGATTATAGTTTAGTTGTTTTTATCTTTGTATTTGATTTGATTTATCATTATATTTTATAGTGGTTAAGTTACAGTTTATAAAACAGTTTAGTGATAACAATGTGTGCATCTGGGCCAGTCTATCAGTGCAAATACGTTCAATGTCCTTTAGTTTATCCTTTCGATCTGATTATCTTTGGAAGTTAGTTTAGTCATTTTGTGATTCTGAATTGGTCTTATGTTTTTTTGCTTTATCATGTAGTGCATACAGTTGCTTTCCAGGGATGGATAACCTTGTGACTTACTAATCAATGCTCATATTTACCCATGTCGACTTGTTAAAGAGTAACTTTTGGAGCCTCTATTCCTGGTACATCAGTAAAGCCATTAAAAAGAAATGGAGCTATTAGGCTTGTTGATTATTATAACTTTTTATGGAACATTTTATTGAGCAAGTTTGATTTAGTTTTTTCTTCAGTCATATAGGCCTATCACAATAATTACTAAATTGACATAACGTTCAATATATAATAACTGAGATATATATATATATATATATATATATATATATATATATATATATATATATATATATATATATATATATATATATACTCAATTTTTATTGTGGGTACTTTATTTGACGAAAGTGGCAAAGAGTTGAGCTGTAGAGGGTTGAATAAATAACTTCTATGGCAAATTATTGGTTCATTCAGATTTTTATTTGTTGCAACTCATATCATTGAATTACACTGTCTGTTTAAAATGGTTTAGCGGAATTATAGTGCTTTATTTTAATTGTGTCACTGGGAAAAAGTTTCAATATGATGTTTATAGCAGTCTTTATATGTAGCAATATATCATACTTCAAAATTTGTTATTTTGCTGGACCTACTGTTGTCTTCCTGAAGAACTGTGTTGTTTTGGAATACTGATGGCCTTATATAAAGATTTAATGTTGATCATAACTGAGGGAGATTTTTAAACAAATAACTAGTCTCTTTGTGCATATCTGTTTTTACGATCTTTCTGAAAGGTTGTAGCGTTATTGGAGGAGTTGCCGAAGGCTGTAAAGTGCGCCACATCAGGCCCATTAAGGACCTGCTGATCTGCAGCTGCTGCTCGGCCGGTGGGATTAATTACAGTTTGATGCTGATTAATTGACAGACTGAATACACTCTCCCTGTGCGCCTTCTTGGGCTCAATTTTACAGAGATGCTGTCTGGAAGCAGCAAGTGCGCACATGGGCTGACAGATGCATGGACTGGGATGGGCTGAGATCAAACCTGCTAGATCAACGGATGAAGCTGATGGTCTGGAGTCGTCTGGAGTAGGGCTGGGCGATATGGCACAAGCATGAAATACATTACATTTTTTTCACATTGATGAATCTCAAGTTCTTTTTAGATAAACTTTCTTCCTCCAAAGTCTGAAGTCTGCAACTCTCTAAACCACACACATTTAGACATGGTTTAACCTAAATTACATTTAAAATCAATTAAGTGCACAGCCCTAATCTGGAGTTTTTATTTCAGGGTTATATAGAGGCAATTTGTAATAAAAAATATTTTAAATATTCATAGAAATAATTATGCTGTTTTGTACTATTGATAAAACAAATTGTTTCATCACTATAACTTCTAGGTTCAGTTTTGTTTCTCTCTAGTCTAATATTTAGTTTTTAATTGATAATTGCTATGGCAATAGTCCTATTTTTGAATTTTTCTGAAACAACCTAAGGCTGGGTGGAAAACCTTTGTGAAAATTGTGTCCTTGAAAAACTGTGATTTTTGTCACATTCTGTCTGAAGTTTGACTGTTTGGCTTGTCCCGTAGATTATTTGCACATTTGCTCACAGCAGTTCATCTTTCATACTCTATTGTCCTTCAACATTCCTCAGTTTATGTGTCACATAATAGCAGGTCAGGGGAGATTGCAAACATGAGTAATTTTAGTGCAGTTTAGATTACTTGAAATACTTATTCAGGTTAGTACACACATACTTTGTTTCATGCTCTAAGCTTGAATTTAGAGTAAAATTGTTGTTATTGTGAAAATGACTGGATACCTAGACTCAGGCAGATTTATTTAATTGGCTGTTTCCTTCATTCCTCTCTTATTACTGTATCTGTTTTAATACCCTATACTGTGCTATAATTGCCCAATTTACTACTGTGAATGTAATTGCTGTCATTCACCCTAACTATTATCCTTAATGTCCTTTTGCCTTGCGCTTCATTGATCCCAGCAGAGCAGTAAAAGCAATAAGAAGAAGTGTGTGATGGGAGGAGCACATACAACCTGTTCCCCAGAGGCCTTTTCTCCCCTCTCACAGATCTTAA